TTCTCCTTTTGTGTGTCATTCCTGTTAGTCTGTTTTTTATTGGCTTTTTTTAATTGAAAAGGGAGGTGAGTTGTGGGTATCATTAGTTTTGTCGATGAAAGGAAATCATTCTTGGGATTAAGATACAAAAATCCTATTTTTTCAGAGGAAATCAGTACCAAATATAAGGTAGCATGTTTTAGCTGAAGTGATTACACAAAGCTTTGCTTTGCAGCTGGGCTGAAATTCCTATAATTTTTCACTGTTAGCTGTTCTTTGTCACTGTGTTAGACAAGGCACAGATTTCCTCTGTGCTTCAGAGGAGATTGATACATTGAGTAAGCAAATCAAATACAGTTCTGGAGTAGATGTAAAAGCTGAATGAACTGGTGAACTGAATTTTTGCCCGTGTTTCTTGTGTGGTAGTGAGAAGGTTTTGTTTTTTCAATCAGCTGAAAGCAGAAGTAAGCTCCTGAGCATTTCAGAGATACAACATAGTCTCGTATTTATTCAAACCAGAAACTAAAATGCTTCTGAAGTAGATTAATTGAATTGTATATTGGAAGGGAGCAGGACAGGACCTCTGTAGATGTTCTCATACAATATCTGCAGTATGTGGGTGTTAAAGACTCTATGTTCTATTAAGGCTTTTTTAATACTAGCAGTAGTTTTAAATTTGCTTAAGAAAAATTTGGCTTAATCTTTGATTCTTGACATAAACAAATCTCACAGTATGTAGAGTTGTAAAATATAACTTTCCGATAGGTTGTTTTGGATAAAATCTGTAGAAAGATATGGCTCTCAACTAATGGATGTGATTTGTTAGTTCCAATGAGAATTAAATACATTGACTGTTAGGAGATAACTCCCCTCTCCTTCCCCTAGATTCAAAAGCTCACTTGTCTGTACTTAATGGCTGGCTTTAGGAATTATTTTGGAAATCTTTTTTTGTGGGATTTCTTAACTTTGTTGTTTTGACTTAGCTGGAGCTGCTTTACCTGAATATTTTAGTCAGTTATTCTTGTAATAACAGCTGAGATTATTTAATTCTTTCCTTCCTTTGCTTTTGAACTCGAGTCTTCAAAATCTGATTCAGACTTGGAATGAGTAGGACAAGATAGATTCTCCAACCAGCATCAAAATCTGTTTTGTTTCATTAATGTTCCAAGATAGAGAAGAATAGAATTATAAAGATGACATTCTTGTAGGCCGGGGGAGTAGAACATCATCTTTAATCTTTATTATTGTTAAAGAGGTATTTTCCTTAGCAATCACAGTGCATTTCATTGCTAAATGAACAACAGACATTTAAAATATCACCATTATTATTCTGATTGTCTTGAATGGCAGTTTTCAGTGTTTTACCATTGATCAGAAATCTTGGGCAGAGATCTGTAAGTTGAATAAGCTAATGTTCTTTGTAGAAAGTAGATAATTATATTTGATAATTTCAGGTGTCCCTTCCAGTATGATAGACTTGTAGTCTACTGACTTTTCTAATGCAGATATTATAGGCTCTTTGAGCTCTCTGCACTCTGTAAGTTTTGTATTATATATTGATTGGTTCTATTATACCTTCATCCTCATTTGGATGCTAGCGCTCCTTGATAGTATAAATGATAGTTTTAAAGAGTTGCTGAAAAATTCTGTCTTGCTTTACCTTTAAGATTTTTCTGATAGGTCAGCTAGCAATGGATCAAAGTTACTGACTTGTAATGTCAAATATAGAACTCCTAAATCATTACATGAAATAGCTATTCATTTTTTTTAATCTGATTTATGAAATCTGTGGCTTTAAAGTGATTGAAGATTGTGCTGGAAGTCTTGGAAAAGCTCTGATCTGTAAATAAAATAAGGTATATTGAAATGTAAGAACTTGCTGTAATCATCATGGTCTGGATATCTAGTGAAAATAAAAAGTTTACAATATGATAACTTTTTCCTTAATGTGCATACATTTGCAGAGTATATTTGACTGGAATGTTAAACAATTGTTTCTATATTTGTCTGCGGAATACTCAACAAAAAACAATGTAAGTACAAAAGAGAAAGTTGAAGCTATTACCCATTCTGTACTGCATTGATTTTTAACACTTTGAAATTCTGCTGGGAAGAGTTAAGGTGCTAGAGTTTCCTACTGGCTTGGACCATTTTCACTGGCTTTAATGGTTATTTTCTTAACAGCTTAACCGCATGGTGGGAAGTCTTTGAACTTGATATGTGCCTTGTAGACAGAAAGAAAAGTAATGCGTACCTTAGAATTGAATTATTCTCACATGTTTGTGCTGTCAGATGTACTTTTCCCCAACTTTTTCCAGTTGACTTGTTGCAGATGGATGTAGTGGCCTTTAGTTTCACCAGGTGTCATGGATTTTCATTAGTTGCTGATATCAGCAAGGATATAGTGAAGGTTTTTTTAAAAAAGTTATTTTACAAATGCAATGGATACTGCATTTGCAAGAACAAACAGTCTTTAACTTTTTGTTAAAGACTGAGAATTCATTGTCTTGTTTCATATTATAGTTTTGTTTATACGTATCTCACTTTAGCCAATTACTCTGGACAAATTGTGCTGTATCATACTGTATGAGACTTTAACTGCATGCCGTTCTTACTACCTCTCTACTTAGATCAGTATACAGTTAAGTAAGATTTTGGGATCCACCTTTTTGATATGCTCATACAACTCTTGGAATTATGCTTGCAACTGAAGTAGAGATGTTTTTCCCCCATTGAAGTTGAAAAAAATTAAATACCTGAGCAATGCAGCTCAATTTGTCTTTTGTCTGAAAAAAAGTCTAAATTCTTCTTGTAAAAACTAACTTCTGCAATTCCAAAGGAACACCTATCATACTTTTTGTCTTTGAAATCGTCTGACTTACTAAAATCGTGTTTGTGGTGTTGCACTGAGCTGTTCTGTTGTTCCAGGTATCATGCCACACTTCAGTGCATAGTAGCATCAGTTTTCTTGGTGTACAGCATTATTTTTGTTAAACTGCTTACGTGTGTTATGAACACATACTTCAGTTTTTCAGTGGATATGCTTTTTAATTTCAGTGACCAGACATGCTCTGAGACATGATCTTGCTAATTTAATTGTAATTGTGTTTTTAGGCTCTGAACCAAGTGGTCCTTTGGGACAAGATCATTTTGAGAGGAGATAATCCAAGGCTGTTCTTAAAAGACATGAAGTCGAAGTACTTTTTCTTTGATGATGGAAATGGTCTCAAGTAAGTAAATCACTTTGGTGGTTTTGTGTTGTTTTTTTTAATCCTGACATCTCCATTTACTTGCATGCTTCTCATTTTACAAGTATTTGTATTGCTATGATAAGGTATGTATATTCCATTAGTCTGTTGTCTTTGTACATGTATCCTAAGGTCATGCTTCTAACATCCTTGTTCTACAGAATTGGCTTTGTGCTGCACTCAACTCCAAAAGACTAGAATAATTAAAAAATAAATAACTGTAAAACGGAATATTTCATGAAGTGACTATGTAAAACTTAAAATCCCTTTTTTTGTTTTTTTCTGGATCATGAAAATTACTCTCATCCTGCATTAGTTAATGTTAGTATTGGTTAGGTAAATTTTGGTACTTATGCTGATTTTCTTTCTTGTTTTTTTTTTGCAGGGGAAACAGGAATGTCACTTTGACGCTTTCCTGGAATGTTGTACCAAATGCCGGCCTTCTACCTCTTGTGACAGGATCAGGACATATGTCTGTACCTTTCCCAGATACCTATGAAACAACAAAAAGTTATTAAATTATAATACTGAAGCAACATATTTTTATACTTGTATATTGTGAATAAATTTTATTGCGGTTTCTTCACACATCCCACACAACCCTCCTATGAAAGGTACTTAATTTCCTCAGGTTCAGCATCATGGAAAAAGGAAAAAATTGAATTTTTTTAAATAAAATGTTGAAATTGAAACCTAAAGTAGAGGTAAATTGTGGAGTACTGTTTTTTGGTGTTGGGGTGGGAAACAGGTTTTTTTTTTTTTTGTTCATTTTCTTTTCTTGGCCATCTGGTATAGACCTACCTTTCTTTTAAATAAACATTTTTACACCAGAAACTGGTCTTACTGTTTTGTTTTTTAAGTACTCTGAGAATTATGTGCATAGAATGCAAATGCAGAACTCAGATCTAAATGAAATTTCTGCGAGTACCTGAAAGAAAGGTTTATTCTGTGTAATAATATTTTTGCTGAATGCAAAAATTTGTGTTGCAGCAAGGTAACTGATCCTTTCTAACACTGCCAACAGCCATTCATAATCCACTGTGGTCATCCCATAGATCTCCTTTTGAAGATCTCCTTTTGAGTGTCAGTGATGTGTGGCATATCCACATTTCTGTATCATGAAACATTTTAATAATTGCTTATGATACAGATAATGCACCTAATTAGAACAGTAAAAAGAACTCTTTCAATGTATTGAGGTTAGGTCTGTGAGGAAAGTAGAAGCTTTCATTAAAGAATGACCATTTTATTTATTTTCTTTTGCTATCTGCTCAACAAGAAAAATACCAGCTAGTTTCAGAAGGGCCTGTAACAACCATAGCATTGAGCTGCCCTTGGTCACAAGGAATGAGACTGGTGTTCTGCAAAACACCTGTGAGAACATCTAAGAAATATGATCTCCAATAGGTGCAGAGGAATTCAGAGGAATGTACCAGCTGGTATTAATTTAAGTGCGTCTTAAGTTTTCCTGATCTTACACTAACCAGGAAAGTGTAGCAGTTGCAGCAGCTCTGCCAGAACTGTTGTGGTTACATGTTTTGCTCTTCCCTTTCTCAGCTACAGGCACAAATGATTGTCGCTGCAAAAAATGAAAGAAAAAAAAAACGGTGTTGGGATTATCTTTTGGCAACAAGAATGATTTATGCCACTTGCAGGGGAACTGTTAGGTCGTGGTTTGAACTGGTGATTGAGCACCTGGTGAAGGGGTGTAGCTGGCTGAGGGAGCACAGGCAAATTGTTTGCACCTGTGTTCCACAGGTGATCAGAAGGGGTGGATCCAGTGTGGAACCACCCTCATATAAGGGCTAGCCACTGAAGTGAGAGCACCTCATGGACCTAGGCTGTTTGCTGAGAAGTGCTGCGTAGCTGGAGAGCCCCTTTGCCAGTTGGGTGAGTTCAACTCTTCTTTTTATGTAAAACTATTAGCCTATTTGTGAATGCTTTGCCTGGTGTTGCTAAGAATCTGTCAGAAATAATTTTGTTACTTTGTCCAGAATGCTAATCAAATGGTATTTCTTGCTTATTGTGTATAGAAGGAGTATGTGCTGTTACTGCTTTTCTGATGTAGTTATTAATGTATGTATTCAAAGTATGGTGGAAATTAATATGTTGTGGAACACTGAATCTTTTGAGTGTGCTGGGAGTTTTCAGAAAGAGCAAGCAGAGAATGAAGTGGAGGGCTTCTTTACTATTTCTTTTTTAAACCATGAGAAATAATAGGAGAAAATGTTCAGAGTGGTAGTGTGACAAACTTCTGAAAGGAGAAAGTGCAAAATACTGAAAGCAAAGGAAGCAAAAGAAAGGAAAACCAATAGATAATGAAAAAAAATGAATGCAAATAGATAAAGAACTTGATGTTGACTTTGATTTGCTTGATGTTTTAAACACTGAAGTTGGAAGACTTAATTTAAAAAGCAGTTGTAGCTTTTGTGATTTATATATGAGCTCTGTAGATTTAAAACTGCATGTAGGTTGTCTTTTAACAATAAACTGATCTGTGATGGGACAGCTGCAGGTAATGAGAAACATCTCATAGGAGAGTTAATTCTTCATAATCTGCTATTCTATTGCATTGATTTTATTCTGAAAGATGCAATGTCCATTCTCAAGAAGGTAACAGAGTAGGAAGATACATTTTATCTTTAACCATTAAAGTGTACTAATTAGGCCTCTGTCCTCTTTTCCACGTGTAATGCCTTACCCCCAAGGGGGAATAATACCAAAAGAAACTAAGAGGAGATGGCATATGAAGATAATATGGTATTGTTGATTTGGGGTACAAATATTCTGTTGCTCAGTGGTAGCATTGTGAAAGGATGGCTGTGGCACTGCCAGTTTGGAGTGGCTTCAGTTTGTGGCTGGATCCCGTCTAGTGTAAACTTCAAAATCCAGCAAAGGGGTTGGATTGGATGTGTGCTTCTGTGACTTTGCCTTCAATGTTACACTGTGAAAGCTATGTTGCTGCAATTACAAGCCAGCTGCTTGCACCTGCTGGCATTAAGACACTGTTGGCGTGTGATTACTACATGGGTAATTTCTGCAGAAAATGGTGTTTTGAGTATCAGTGTGATATACAAAGGAGAGAAGGTTACAGTTGGGTATAATGCAGTGCAAACATTATGTCCTGGGTAAAGGGTAACTCCTAACTGGGGTGGAGCCAGAAGTGTGGTCTCATGCCTTCCTCCTTAGAGGAACTACAGGTATTAGGAAAAATGATCTGTAGTGTGTTCTATTACACCTTTCAGAGAAAGTTGTTTTTGTACTGAAAGTATCACATTTTTTATTTGTTCTCTGCATGCTCATGTGAGTTTCACTTCTCTGAGCCTGTGCTGTTTTCCACAGGTTAATGTGATCAGCACTCTGTAATGCATCCTATTTTTTTTCCATGCCTTGATAGGAAATCAAAGTAAGTGTTTTAGGAGAATGAAGAAGAAACTGCCTTTCCTGGGTTTATGCTCAAGTTCTTAGAGGGAGGAAATTGGGTTTATCCTGAGGGGAAGGTCACCCTAGATGAGTACTTAAATAGTGCTGTAATTACTTCTCAGCTATAGAGAGGAACAGGATCTCTGTTCTCTTCTTGATCCAGGGAGGTAAATTTGTTGGCTGATCCCTTTAAAATATTTCAAAAAGTAAAATTATACTCTGAGTTATATAGCTCATCTTGTCTCTTCTGGTGCATCTTATAAAAATCAATGTTGCTGACAACTGGTTGTTCTCTTAGACATGTCACTAATGCTGTTTTGTGTTATGATGCGTACAGAAGATGTATTCCTTAGCAACTGATTCACTTCATGGGAAGGAGCTTGAAAACATTACGTAGGACATTGAGCCAAAAACACTTCTGATGCATTTCAGATAGCAGTTCAATGAGGTGCTGGAGATGGGAGCTCTTGTCAGAGGACACAAGAAAAAAAAATGCACCCTTAAAGCAGCTCAGTTTTGTGCTGAATGCTCTGATCAGTAAGTGGAAAACTGAGAGTACTGTAGGCATGAAAGAAAAGTAACTATTCAGAATTTCTATTTAAACTTCTACTCCCCTGCATATTCAGCCTTATTCTATGGACTAGCACAAGAGATACTGAACATAGAAAGTCACGCAGAATACAAATTACTATTCCTTGTTTACTTTTTATTATAAGCTCCTTCTGAACAATTAAACTAAAGTTGGTAGTTATATTGTGGAAGACTCCTGTGTTCTTTTTGGGTTGTAGATTGAAAATGTTGGGTTTTTTTCTGCAAAGATTTTGAAAATACATCTGGCATTTCTATAAAATGAAATCAATTTAAATTGAAAGTTCAAGAGTTGGAGGAGAAATTACTCAAGATTTGTGTCAAAATTACATTTAAAAAAAAAAATCTTTGAAAATCGTGAATGCGAGGGATGTTACTGTAGTTTATTTGGCTGCCTTATTTTGGAAGACATTTGAGATTTTCCTCAATAAAACCAATTCAACTTCATATACTACTTAGCACAAAGAATCCCATTCTAAGAACACATGTAAATATTAGTTACACTATTCACACAAAACATAACTGTGTTCTAAAGGGAAAAAAAAAAAGACTTTGCTTGAACAACTGAAACTTCTGCTCTACCTGGAGCTGACCACCCTCTCACTGGGAATGCTCTCAGCTGCATTCCCTGGCATCAGTTCTGTGAGCTTGTGCTAATAAAGATGGACTAAAGGTGAAGTAAGCATACTGTTGTTAAGGATTCTTTTCCCCTTAATATAGTATAATAGGTATATTCCCGTTATACAAAATTAATATCCTGTAGTAATTGATCTTAATTTGCTTTTATTTACCTGAGAGGGTAGTTAGAATTTCTTTTTGTTGTTTTTGTTTACTTCAAACTCCAACAGTGTTGCATTTCTGATATCTAATTATCAAGTAACAAAATTCTTAATTCTTTGTAAGAACTTTCTTTTGTCTAAGGTGGTAATGGAAGGTTAAAATAAAACTAGACTAACTGTGGGTGGGAACTGGCAGTGATGAGATTTATTGTGGCTGCTTGTTACATTTGGAAAGATTACTGTGGTGGAATGGCAAAAGAGACAAACAGGAAAACAATGTTCATCTGTATCCAAAGATCTAGGCTCATAGGGAAAAACTCCACAAAGGAAGGATCTCCAGAAAAATATCCTTCCCCAGTGGCAGTCAGCTCTAAAATGGGGTCTAGGAGTTGCCTTCACCTGTGCTCCCAGGGCTTACCCAATCCTTTCCTCAGGTGATCAATCAGTAGTTCAGGCAGTGACTCAACAGTTCCTGTACACTGCTTAAGTCTCTCTTGTATTTCTTTTCTGTTCTACCTTTATCTCTAAGAGGTAATTTCCTTCCTTTTTTTTTTTTTTTTTTTTGTCTCTTTGGCTCTCCTAATTGTGAAAGACAGGAGACTTGATGTCTTTGTCTCTCATCTCTCCTTCAATACTGTTTTGTTTGTTTTTGGAATCAACATAGTGAAAAAAATGGGTGTGTGGAGATGGAAGATCAGATGAAGCTGTGATTTCCTCATTATGAAGGTGGGGTGATGACTGTCTTATGCAGCTGGGGGATGAGGTGGAAAAGACTTTGTGTTTACAAGTTGGTGTTTATGTGACCTTATTAATGTAAATGAAGCTATCCCTATTGACCAGAATCAATCCACCAGGTCGTGAATTCATGTTCACACAGTAGGGATTCCGGGTAGCTCTGTTTGAAAATGGGAGGCCATGAAAAGTAAGAAAGCAGTTGCCTGAAACTGACTTAGACTTTCAAGATTTAGTTGACTCAGTTGCTTGAGCTTAGACAGCTATCCCACTAACATCATTTTTTGAACAGGCTGCCCAGGGAGGCAGTGGAGTCACCCTCCATGGAGGTGTTCAAGGAAAGTGTAGGTATGGCATGGATTGGTGGTTGGACTAAATGGTCTCAGTGGTCTTTCCAACCTTAGTGATGCTACAAATTCTTCAGATATCTATAGCTGGTATGACTGTGTTCCTGAAGCATTTTACAAAGTCATAATTACTACCTAAAATGTTAGGAATATAGAACTGGTAGCAGCAGCTCTATACTCTGAGAAAATAATCAGAGAAAAGCATTTCTAACCAAAGCGTTTTTATTTTTTAGTTTTGGGATAGCTAGGGGAGAAGGATAGGTGGAGGAATTATTGCCAAGGGAACGCTTTTAGTATTATTATTTTTTATTGCTTTCTAGATTCAAAAACTGCATACATGTGAAAACAGAATGTAATATCAGATAACAAAAGTAAGTTTTATGAAGTACTTGTGATTGAGCATTTAGTCTTAATTTCCCCCATCCTATCCAATTAATCTTCATTATAAATCTAAGTACTAATATCTTGACTGACTGATTAAATGAATGACTTAAAGATGGCTCTGGCTGTTTTTATAGCCTTTCTGATGCTTTATGATAAAATGATAATTTATTGTGCAGTAGGATTTTGATATTTATTTACTGAAGTTACTTCAATGTTCTTTTACTGTATTTATTTTAGTCTTGTTGCTTGTAGGTATCTTGTTGCATAAGTCCATGCAATTAATTACATGAGGAATTGTATCTGCATAATCTAAAGTACGGATCAGAAACTGGGTTTCTATTGAATAACTTAGTGAGGTAATTGGCCTGGACTGAGTAGGAAGTGCTGCAAATACTGCTTTTGAAAGGTGTTCAAGTGCTTGTTGCCAATAAATATTTTCAAAGGGAACTTTCTGCTCTTAAGCTGAAAGTGTTGGGAGAGTTTGTTCTGTATGACTTTTAGCATATGTCACCAAAAGAGTTTGTTCACTGCAGGCAGGAATTCACATAACTAAGTCTATTGAATATTTTACACCTTTCATGATTGTGGTATTTCACTACTGGGATTAGATCTAAGAAGTGCATTGCTTTTGATAGAA